ATTAATGTCTCAGGGTATATCAGTATAGATTGCGGCTTACAACCTAACAAGTCTAGTTATTATGAGGAGAGTACAGGCTTAAAGTACGTTTCTGATGAGGCATTCACAGACACTGGTGAAAGGAAGGTCGTATCAAAAGAATACCAAGATGATACGTATGGCCCGTATCGTTCTCTTAGAAGCTTCCCAGATGGAGACAGAAATTGCTACAAAATAGGGGTCACAACAGGTACTAAATATTTGGTCCGAGCAATATTCCTTTACGGGAATTACGATGGTGAAGATATACCGCCGGCTTTCGACCTATATCTTGGAGCCAGTTTGTGGGAGTCAGTGTCGGACACTTCAAGTTCCGCAATCAATCTAGAGATCATACATGTACCTCAAAAAAACCATATTCATATTTGCCTGGTGAATACGGGCCATGGTATCCCATATATATCAGCAATAGAAATAAGGCCTTTGGATAATTCAACTTATCAAGCTCAAACAGGATCCTTGGCATTGCTCGATCGGCTTGACACTGGTGTCAGTACATGGACCAGGTGAGTTATCCCAAATGTTATCATCTCTCACACACATAAGTTTTCCGCCTCTTTTTGGCGACGTCACTGCCAACAGTACGTATCAATGTTTGTGATGACATGTCGTCGCAAATAATGGACAAACTGGCGCTAACATTGTTGACGCCAGATTGGTTTTGGCACCAATCACTATTAGCGACGACATGTCGTCGCTAATAATTTGTCAAATTTTAGCGACAATATGTCATCATAAATAGTAAAATTTTGTGCAACGACAAGTCGTCGCAAATACTGAATGCGACGTTAAGTCGTTCAAAAATTTTGTTTTCTTTTTAGCGACGACATGTCGTTGCTAATATTGTAATTTTAGCAACGATAAATGTCGTCGCTAATAACCCTTTTTGTTGTAGTAATGAGAGATAAAAATCTAGACTCATACACTGTTAAAGGTAAATTGATATGCAATTTTCTCTTAAAAAAATTTAGGGGTAATCCATGGGAATTTTTATCATTTCATGATGTATCTTTTTTTTTTTCCGTTCAAACATATATATGTACAAGTTTTATAATTTCAATGAAAACTTTGGGCAAACTTCAGAAACCACTAGACGGAGGTATCAATCGGCCGGAAAATGGCAGTACAAACATTAGATACTGTAAAAAAAGAGAAAAAAAAAAAAAAAAAAAAAAAAAAAAAAAAAAAAAAAAAAAAGCATAGTTAAATTTTTGACAATTATTGAAAATGGGTTACTAACACTATTAGTCCATGAATAATAATTATGAGCATTATAATCACTTTAATTCCTAAAATTTTAATTTAAGTAAATTTTTCACAAAACTATAGGATTTGTTGGCAATTTTAGTTCCTACCATTATAATTAAAATAATGCCTGAAATTTCTAGAGATAATCACATCTCAGTTGCAGAGTAATTAACTGAAGTTTTAACATAAATAATTACAATATTAAATGCAAAATTTCTTAGTTTATATGGATTTTTAACAACAAAAAAGAAAATATTTTGCATTTGTTGTAATTTTTTCTATTAAAAAAATCAGTTACTATGTGAATTAGACATGATTATCTCTGTGAAATCACCAAAGTGACACTATACTTGTAATTCCAAAACTAACAGTGCTAACAACCGGAAAAGAGAAAAATAGAGATGTGAAATCGCGAGTTGTTAAAAATCCGACTTTTTGCACAAAAGCTTTTAATTGTAATAATATATATCGCATACTGAATTGGAAACTTTTTGTTTAGGTATTATGGAGAGGACATGGATGTTTATGATCGTCTCTGGTCTGCACAGAAATATGATGATTGGAAAGAATTAAGCACAAATCTACCCATTGATTCTGAAGATCAATCCGACCATTATAGCATACCATCACTAATTATGAGCACTGCTTTCACACCGAAAAACGAAGAAGCTCCTTTGGAATTTCCGTGGACTGCAACTGATGAATTTAGTAACGGTACATATTATTTTTACATGCACTTTGCTGAAATCGAACAACTCCAAGCCAACGAGTCTAGAGAATTCAACATATTCTACAACGGTGATCTCTTGTTTGGACCTGTTTCCCCAAAGCACTTGCAAAGAACAACGTTGCACGCCGAAACTCCATTTTCGGGATTTTACCATAATTTCTCAATCCGCAAGACTGAAGCCTCAACTCATCCACCCATTATCAATGCCTTTGAGATTTACACTGTCAAAGAATTTTCAGAGTCTGAATCTGACCAACAAGATGGTATGTGCTTTATAATGATCTTGTATGAAAGGACCTTACCTTAAATGCAGTACATAATATTACACACATATATGGGCACTTTGGTACTTTCAGGGACCATACGTTCACTGCAACATATATATACAAGTGAGAAATATAATGACATTTATTCAATGCTGCACTGATATCATAAGTGTAACACTAAAAATATTAATTATGTTGTGTTTAATAAATGTCATGTTATACTTCTCACTTTATGATACAAGCAACGTATATAGTATCTCCTAGAAGAATGGTAACACTACCCATATATATATAAGTTTGTTTATATTATAATACTTTGATATAAGATTTAATATATAAATATATATGCATATTTAAAATCATTACAGTTGATGCCATCACCACACTCAAGTCAACTTATGGATTACGGAGAAACTGGCAAGGAGATCCATGTGCTCCTAAAAAGTATTTATGGGAAGGTCTAAATTGTAGTTATGAGAATACTACCCCAAGAATTATATCCTTGTAAGTATCTATATATGTGTGTGTGTTGTTTCCTTTAAATCGTCTTTTGATTTTGCATCTTAATTTGTACTATATAACATGTGCAACTAAAGAATGTAAATGCAATCAGAACTAACGGTCTTGTGAGTAACTGAATCGGATTTAGTTTTATATAATCAGACTTTTCTTGGTTATAAAAAGCTAGCTTGGTGATATGCATTGTTATGTAACATGACAGAAACCTTGAAAACAACAACCTCAATGGTCAACTTCCAGATGAACTTATTGAGAAAAGGGACAAAGGTCTTCTAACACTAAGGTAAGCTCTTTGTTCAAAATGAATATCTCAACACAGGACCTTGGTCTGGTACTAATAAATGTAAAATGTTACCACTAAATTTGAAGAAATCAAATAACTAGGTAGATGAACAAAATATGATCTGCTACTAAATAATATTATTTATTTATCTTCATCTTTTAGTTAAACTCTAATTTCTTTCAATTTTGTTGCACGCTATCTACCATTTTTATTGCTAGTGTTGGTGGGAATCCAAATCTATGTGCATCAGTTTCTTGCAAAAAGAAAAATTTTCTTGTTCCAGTTGTGGCATCACTTGTCGGAACTTTTGTTCTTCTCTTAGCTGTCGCAGCAATCTGGTGGGGTCTTGAAAGGAAAAGACAGCATGGTAAGACACATTAAACTTTCATATATATACATATATAAATGTGTATATAAATTAATTAATTAGTACCTTAACTATGGATGCAATATTAGTGTAAAGAAAACAAGAAACGACGATTTTTTTTTTTAAGGGAAGCAAAACTAGTGTTAAGTAATTGCTCGATAAATATAGTACTGGTACAACAATATTGGACAAAATTTGAGACAACAGGATTATTCTACATATACATGAGCGCATAGCACATCATATATGTGTGTGTATATATATATATATATATATATAGTATCTCCTAGAAGAATGGTAACACTACCCATATATATATAAGTTTGTTTATATTATAATACTTTGATATAAGATTTAATATATAAATATATATGCATATTTAAAATCATTACAGTTGATGCCATCACCACACTCAAGTCAACTTATGGATTACGGAGAAACTGGCAAGGAGATCCATGTGCTCCTAAAAAGTATTTATGGGAAGGTCTAAATTGTAGTTATGAGAATACTACCCCAAGAATTATATCCTTGTAAGTATCTATATATGTGTGTGTGTTGTTTCCTTTAAATCGTCTTTTGATTTTGCATCTTAATTTGTACTATATAACATGTGCAACTAAAGAATGTAAATGCAATCAGAACTAACGGTCTTGTGAGTAACTGAATCGGATTTAGTTTTATATAATCAGACTTTTCTTGGTTATAAAAAGCTAGCTTGGTGATATGCATTGTTATGTAACATGACAGAAACCTTGAAAACAACAACCTCAATGGTCAACTTCCAGATGAACTTATTGAGAAAAGGGACAAAGGTCTTCTAACACTAAGGTAAGCTCTTTGTTCAAAATGAATATCTCAACACAGGACCTTGGTCTGGTACTAATAAATGTAAAATGTTACCACTAAATTTGAAGAAATCAAATAACTAGGTAGATGAACAAAATATGATCTGCTACTAAATAATATTATTTATTTATCTTCATCTTTTAGTTAAACTCTAATTTCTTTCAATTTTGTTGCACGCTATCTACCATTTTTATTGCTAGTGTTGGTGGGAATCCAAATCTATGTGCATCAGTTTCTTGCAAAAAGAAAAATTTTCTTGTTCCAGTTGTGGCATCACTTGTCGGAACTTTTGTTCTTCTCTTAGCTGTCGCAGCAATCTGGTGGGGTCTTAAAAGGAAAAGACAGCATGGTAAGACACATTAAACTTTCATATATATACATATATAAATGTGTATATAAATTAATTAATTAGTACCTTAACTATGGATGCAATATTAGTGTAAAGAAAACAAGAAACGACGATTTTTTTTTTTAAGGGAAGCAAAACTAGTGTTAAGTAATTGCTCGATAAATATAGTACTGGTACAACAATATTGGACAAAATTTGAGACAACAGGATTATTCTACATATACATGAGCGCATAGCACATCATATATGTGTGTGTATATATATATATATATATATCATGTATGTATACATGTCCTAATAATTACAGCTACCTACTCATGATCAACTTAATTACCAGGTTCATCAAAGGCAAAATCTACCTTTGGTCAATATTCATCGGAGTACTCGACAAAACGGCAATTTACATACTCTGACATACTAAGAATTACCAACAATTTTGAGAGAATTATTGGTAAAGGCGGATTTGGAACAGTTTATCATGGTCAGATAGGTGATACTCAAGTAGCTGTGAAAATGCTTTCACCGTCATCTTTTCAAGGATATAAACAATTTCAAGCAGAGGCACGTAATATTGATATATACTAATAAATACATGTTTTATATATAGTTTCTTTATTTTTAAAGGAGTTTTATATATAGTTTCAAATATCTGAATAACGTCTTTTATAATGTCACAAAAAAATCAATGAATTAATTGTGATATAACTAGTTTAAAAACAATTTTGAGATCTTTATAATTTTTTAACTGCAGGTCAGCGTTCTGCTGAAAGTTCATCACAAAAATTTAACAACTTTTGTTGGTTATTTCACTGATGATCAAAACAACGCTGGGCTTGTCTACGAGTATATGAACAGTGGAGATCTACAATCTCATCTCTCAGGTTTTCTTTAGCACCTATACTTAAGACCAAAAAAATAAGAGACTAACTTTTTTTTTCTAATCAAAAAATTAGAGCATTGCTATTTAACACCAATGATCGCACATAACCACATTTATAGTAGTAAAGTAGAATTGTCATATAGCAGAAGATAGTGTAACATGTTGTGTCCTATACTGCTATATGATACCTTTTACTTATAATTGCATGTAATTGCATCAACAATAATGATAAATAATTTTTTTTTGGGTTTTGTTTTTAACATGTTGTGTACACACAAGGTAGTAACTTCAAATGCCCTAGATAAATCTTGGAGGCAAATTAATTAGATAGATATTTAAATGTTTAATTTTTAAT